TTTTTTTCTTGGTTTTTCTCCGGTACCGGGAACCGAACTCACGACCTTGCGCTTGCCAGGCAAGCGCTTTTGCTGCTGAGCTAAATCCCCAGCCCCTATTTTTTAACTTTCAAATTGTTAACTTTCATGATCACTGAAGCTCATCCAGAATAAACTGCATCACATTTGGATGGTTCTGCAATCCGTGCTAGCTACAATCTGACAGCAACAGTGTGCTGGAGGCTCTGCTCTGGAGAAAATACTTGTGTATAGCAGGATCTAAGAATAATAGTTACAGCCTAAGTAGAAGCTCAACTTCCAAGGTTGGCACTATATAATCTACTTCTAAGGGCAGGTATAAAATAAAGAGAATGAATTGGGGTTCATTGCTGGACCTATCTTAGGCAGTCATAACGTTTGTGAAATGTCAAGGTTAACTCAGATAAGAATAGCAGTTCTTTGAAAAGATACTTTGCTTGTTTGAAAAACTATTCAGAGGATATGTCCCACAACTTTGGCCAGTTTCTATCTATATCTATGCTATTGTGATCTCTAATTATTGTTCTAACTTTTTTTGGTGTGTATGGTACCGAGGATCGAACTCATGACCTTATGCTTGCCAGGCAGGTGCTTATGCCACTGAGCTATAACCCCAGGCCCAATTGTTCTAACTTTAATTTCTCTTATTTTCAATGTGATTGTGCAATCATATTCATATGCTTATTTAAGGTGATCTTGGGAAGTAGCTACTTTTACTCGTTTTAATGAAAGATGATTTGTTTTGTACTGACTTATTGAGGTCCTTATACATTTTCAGATATGCCTTTTGTTGATTATTGTATTGCAAATATAGTTCCCCACTCTGTGGCCTGTCTTCTCACTGTCTTCATGGTATCATTCAATAACTGGAAAATATTAATTTTAATGTAGCCCACCTCACTAACTTTCCATTTTGAGTTGTACATTTTAATTGAATTAGGACCAGAAAGTGTATGCTATATAATTCTAATCCTTTTAAGTTTGTTAATCTTGCTTTATGGTCAGTATATAGTGAGTGTTTATAAATGTATTATACATGCTTGAAAAGAATGCATGTTCTCTGTGACAGTCCAGTCTCCTATCTCTTTGTGCCAAGTTAATTGTGTTATTCAAAACTGCTGTATTCTTAGCATTTTCCTTTTTTTATGAGAGTTTTGTTAACTTTTCCACTATACCTATATTTTCTTCTAGTTTGCTCAATTTTTGCTTCAGATGGTTTGAAAACGTGATATTAGGTGCCTAATACTGAAAATTGTAATAACTTACAGAGAAGCTAAGATTTTTATTACTCTAGGATGTTTCTCTATATTTCCAATTGTTTTCTGCAACAGAGCTAGTTAAAATTAATTAGTTCACCATTTGTTGGATATATCTATCTATATCTACATCTATATAGATAGATAGATATCATATATATATCTCTACTGACAGTGTGCTGTTCCTTGTCTCAGCTCACCAACAGAAGGAAACAGATAAAAGACATGTGCAATATAGTTATAAGTATTGGGGTACAGTATGCTGTGGGAGCTGTGGGGGAAAGACTTAGTAGACAAGGAGAGATGACATCTGAGCCGGTTTTGAAAATTAGCATATACCGTGAAGGACCCGGGGAGTGGTAGAAACTTGCGGGTTATGTGGCTCAAGTACTGAGCATGTCAGAGAGAGAGACTCGGGACACAGGCAAGAGCTCTGCAGGAATGAAGATGTTTCTAATTGTTTTCCACTTCAATGAATTTTGAGTTGTTCGCTCTTATAAATAAAGACGACAGGAAAGAACTTCGTCCATATTTTATACTAACTCTTTAGGACCAATTCCTTGAAGCAGAGTTACTGCAACAGAGGGCACCTGCACTTTTTATGTACAAAGGGGGGGTCTATTTCAAGATCACAGAAAGCTTTTAGAAACCAATTAGAATGGAGCCAAGTGTTGAGGGGAGATTGGGCGTGAGGAAGAACGGAGGGCAAGGATGTAAAAGACCGGGGCTTTCATAGAGCAGGGAGAGCTGAGAGACTGGAGAACAACCAGCAGGGTCTGGCTGAGTTCAGAGTTCTGGGAGTCACATGGATGGAGTGGGCTCAAGTATAAAGTAGGTTTATATTTATTCCATCAAAGACGTTTAGTTAATGAAATTATAAAAGGTCCTTTTGCCTTTGTCTTACCTTTGAAGTCCAAGGAATCCATTTGTACCATATTCGCCAAGTCATTACAATGGTTATCTTTCCTATGCCAGAGCTTATTTTTTTCCATCTCCCCAGGTGATTTGAGCATCTGGAACCTATTCCTTTCTCCCTCTATTAGCCAACATCATGCTAAGTAGTGTCGACTTTGCTTTACTTTTCTCCTACCCCCCGCGTATCCCTGTGGCCTAGAATGGTACCTATTAAGTTCAAGGCCCAAATTCACCATTTAATAGCTGTGTAATTCCTGACAAGTTACTTAATCTCTCCTTGCCTCAGTTTCTTCATGAGAACCTCTACAATAGTCATCAAAGACCTGTGAAAACTAAGTCAAATCATGCCTGTGAGAACATATGGAATGTCTTTGCAGAAAAATGACAAATATTTCCCTTACCATTATGAATACATAAATTCCTCAAGGTTGTATGTGCTTCTTGCTATGGTGCTTTACAAAGGCAAAGCAAGGACAAACTGCCTTACCCTGAGCATCTTTTCTGTCAAGGTAACTGTCCTGACATAGGACAAAGTCATCTTCGATTGCCAGGTTTGAGGACATATTTTATCTCTGTATCTCAGCCTTTAAAGCTTTCCATTCACTAGCTTTTATGGATACAAGAAGCAATGCATTTTCATGCTAGGATAGCATGTACTCCCCTTCCCCCAAGTTGACAAAAAAGATCTCAAACTCTGGTCACTTCAGACACCAAAAGTCATGGCAGGCTGACTAATTTTGCCCAGACTTTCTGGGAAAGCTCCACATATGCTGCAGTTTTGGGTTGCATAATTGATTTAATCTCTGATTTTAGAGAAATGCTGAACTCTTTTTGTAGGACTCTGCATACATTTCTCTAGGGCAAAAACTGTCCTACTTTTTTCACTCTGGTATCTGTTTAGTACTAGGCCATTTTCCCGCAAGACTTTCAACTACCCTCCGTGAAATAAATGAAATCACAGTTGGAAAACGGCTTACTGGACAGACTCATAACCGCAAGATAAGAGCTGCACCATACACATTTGCTTACCATTCTCCTCCTCCTCCACTTCCTCTCTTCTTGCTGTGTAACGTCTTTGTTTGGACTAAGAGGATGCCTTAGTTGCTCAGTTGAGGGTTGGCATAGCCAGCAGCATACGTTAGTGTCATATTGGAAACACACAGGCTGTGGGTTCTGATCCTTGCTCCCTGCTGGGCTACAGTAACTCTACTCAGATTTCCTTGCCTCTCTGAGTGTTGCTTTCACCAGTTTTTCTAAAGTAATTGTATGAAGGCTGGACTGTAAAGATAGGATGCAGCCAGGTCATACTTACCTGGACTGGAGCTTTGTGGCTAAGCAGGTATATACGAAATGCCAATGGGAAGGAGTGGTTTATATCACCTGAAAAAACTATGAAGCAAAAGGACAAATAGATAGTTTTAAATTCACCAGTGTTTTCAAACATATTTGGCAGCCTCACTTTTGGTTATGTTCTCAGGAAGTATTTAAACTAGAAAGCATCACCTGATAGATAGGTTTCTAGGAACCTGACTGATCCGCTATATGGTTTGGACACTGCCTTCTCCCAGCTATTTCTTAAAGAACTAACTCTGTAATATTTTCTGAATATCACTTTTCTAGGTCCATATTTACTAATACTATTTTGGCAAATTTCCTGAACAGTTCTCATACTGTAGAAGTGACCAGTCACCATGTTCATATCAGTAGCATAAGATCAGAAGTAATTCCACACGTACTAAGTATTATCTCCTTATGCCTTTATGTGTCTTTAAATTATAAAAGAATTTATATAAAATAACTTAATTACTTATTTAATAAAAAACACAAATATACCATTGCTCAGATAGACTTTATTACTTAGTACTTAGATACATTTGAATAAGTCACTTAAATCCTAAACCTCTTTAGGGGTGAATATTTAAAATTGGATGAGAAACATACTTTGCAGATTTATGGTGAGGATTAAATGCTAAAATGTATATGAAGGAATTTGTACATCACATGGCCACAGACAGTTAATTAGCTAGGTTCTACTGTAATAATACCATGTAATAAGTTTTGAATCTCTATAGTTTGTGAAAACAAATATTTGTACTAGACTTGGTTAGACTTTGCTCCAGCTTTTGTGTTCTGTTCAGATCTGTCTTGTGTCCCTTTTTTCAGACACTAGCAGCTTTCATGCCAGAGATCATTGCAAGGTCCTGGTAAATCTTACCAGGTCTCTTAAAATATCAACTGAGAACCGGTATTACAATCACTCCCACCCAAATTTATTTAGTTGAAACGATTCATGTGATCAGGACAAATATTAGTAGGCTAGGAAAGTATATGACCTAATGAAGAAAGAACAGTGAATATTTGCTTAATAATAACCCAGTCTCCTTTGGAGACGTTCACTGAATCTTGTGTTGCCCCCTTTCCCATTCCATTCTACCTACGTGACTCTGTTGGCCCTTCTCCATGTAGTTTACTTTATAGCATTATTTTGCATTCTTTCTTTATTCTCAGATTATTTTGTATGATATTGTTCTCTTTGTAAACAGGTACTTTAGAAAATCCCTTAGAAAAAGAACAAAAGCTTCAGATTCTCCTTCGAGCCTCAGAAGGAATCTTTTGTGATCGTTTGAATGGAATTCGTATCGACCCAGGAACAATTGGTAAGAGTATGAGAGAGAGAGAGAATTCATAGAACATTTACTAAATTCCAGGCACTCTTCTAGATAACTTACATGTTAACTTACTTCACTTACTTGTTCTCTTGTGAGTGCTGTCCATCTTATAGATGTCGGAAATGATGAACAGTAGGTAGAAGGCCACACAACTTTGCAGTGTCAAAACTTAGATTTATAGCTAGGTAAGGCAAACACCAAAGTCTAGACTAAGGATATATACTGTCAGCTATAAATACTGTGTGATTACTGATGTGTTTTGTATTGACAGATCTATAGGTTTTTAAAACTCATTTAGTGTTGACAGTTTTTCTGTTGCCTATTTGTATTGTACCACACCTCATTTTTAGAACTGATCTACATAAGAATACAAAAATTGAGATTGATCTTGAGCTCCAAAACTACTCAGTTCCCAGAGATAAGGGAATGTTCATCAGATTTCGAGTACTGCCCCACTGGTTCTGTGTAGGCATTACTAATTTTATAAGGGAAATGGGACAACTGTTCATGGGAAACAACTTCCCTTGCTGTGTGGTACACATCTGTAATCTCAGCAAGCAGGATGCGGAGGACTGAGAATAGACTTCAAGGCTAACCCGGGCTACACAGTGAGTTCAAACTCAGTGTGGACTTTATAGCAAGACTCTGTCTCAGAAAAAAAAAAAAAAAAGTTCAGTTTTCAAAATTGGATTCTTTTAAATTTTTTCCTTCCCTCACTTACGGAATTTTCAAATGAACCAGTTCACTGCACTTTCTTATGTTTTTAAATAATATGTTGTTATATGACTTGAACAAATTTTGTCACTATCTGGGATATTGATTCTGACTGGTTCCGCACTGGATGCAGTGTTGGGCTGGTGATTTTCAGCTAAGTTGCTTTATGCTGAAGCACAGGAGAAGAGACCATTGTATAAGATGTTTTTGAGCATCGTGAGGTGAAAATATTAGGGCAGTATGACATTTGCTAACTCAGTTCCAAACATCTACTATTGCCACTACTTTGATAGCGCTTTGCAGTTTCCAAAGAGGTTTCATGTATGCTAGTCATGCTGTCTTTCCAGCAACAGGATACTGAAGAACTTTTGAATTCTTCCCAATTAACAAGCTAGGAGGATTATAAGAGCATTTAGGGTTTCTGTCTGTTCTATGGAGTAACCATGCTGGATCCAACTTTCAGTTAGGAGTGTACGTGGGTACATGTCCTGACCTTTGACTTTAAGCGTATGGTTAGACTAGTGTTCTGAAATCCTCTCCTGATATTAAATTTAAATAAATAATGAAATATTTGTTTTAATGCATGCTTCAGTTCTTATGGTATCTTAAGTAAATGACACATTTTAATTCTTTTATATCCTTTATGATCTCACCAAAACAAGTAAGAAATGGTGTCATGTCACAGGAAACCTTTGAGGATTGGAAATGACCAAGAATTCTGTTTTTCTGGTCAATTGAATTTTCTGGATAATTCAAATTTAAAGACATGAACTGTTTTTTGTTATAAACCTTGTTGGAAATCTCTGTAAACTATTTCAGGATCCTTCTTTGACTAGCTTACTTAACTTATGATGAGAAAAGATCTTTTATGATGTGATAACTTGTGAAATATATTTATAAAATTATGTTATGTGAAAGAGTGGCTCTAAGACATGTCTTGAAAGTGGGATTATTTTTATATCCATTAATCCCATTTTTAGTTGTAGGCTCTGTTTTATTTCTGGATTAGAATATGGAGTAAATCACAGATGTTGATGTAAACAGTTTATTAGTTTCTAATTAATAGGGAATTTATTATTTTGAGCCATGCTAGATAAAAAGCCAAGGTATATTATTGGTATATTTCTGTTGTTTACTTCTTTTATTTATGCAGTTTTCTACTGAGTATTGTGAAATTTTTAGAATTTTAGATTACTGCTTTGCAACAAAATAGCACAAAATGTGCTAATCCAGGAATACGCAAACATTCTATTTGAGTGTGGGAAGAAAATACTAAAACTTCTAGTGTAATATACATGTAAATACTATTAAATAAATTTACCTAAAACAATTAATATTACCTAAAGTGATCCAAATAAGTGTACATATGTTGAGAGTACATAAGTATAATTATTTTAATACTGATGGAGTTCATAGGTACAAAACTTCTAGAGCACTATAATATGAGAAATAATGCTTAATATGGTTGAAAATACCAATAAAACATATAAGAAATAGACCCAAAGGAATAAAATTGGGCTATGTCAAGCGTGTCCCTGGTAAAACTTTAATCTGTGAGTCTAAAATAGATTTTATTTTGAAACAAAGGCCGTAGAGATTTCTTCTTTAGGACTTAGAAAAGGACAAAATATTAAGTATACTGAAAATAAACCAAAAACCTATCCTCAGGAAGTAAAATTGGCCTTCTTTCTTTGAGAATCAAATGCATAACATACATTATTAAAACCAGTTAATTTTCAACAGGATTTGAAATAGTTTTCAGTCACTTAATGGTGAGAAAGAATACCTCTTTCAGTTTAAATAACCATTAGTGTGTTTCCCAGTTTTTAGATTATTATGATATGATGTAGTATTCATTTCTCTGTAGCTTTTGAGAGGATATGTGTCATATCTACATGAAACATATTGAATATACTGTAAAATGGAGTACTTAAATATTCTTTTTTTCTTATAAGAGGAACATATTTATATGCAGATTCTGTATGACATATTTTGCACAATGACCTAAGTGAGTTTTACTTATGTGGTCTTAATAATTTTGAAATATTTTCCTATCCACCTTCTGCTCTTCTTATTTTCAGGGGTTTATGGAAAGTTTCAGCTTCAGAGTGCTTATCCTAAGAAATCCTGGACACATCTTGCTGCTGATATTGCCCCAGGAAATGATAGGTAAGGAATGAATAGGGCAGGTGCTTTATTTTTTGGTTTAGTTTGTTATAATATGAAGTTTAATTGTAAACATAATTGAAGGTCAAGTAAGTACAAAAATAATGGGATATCAGGGATTTAAAAATTCTTTATAACATAATAGAACCAAACATGCAAGAGATGGGGGTAGGACATCATTTATTCCAGAAGTAAAATTTACATTATACGTGTTTATTGTTTTCAATAAAATCTGAAAAGTGTCAGTGCCATGAGATAATAAATAGAGTACGTGTTCTGAGTTGAGAAGATGGCATGTTAAGATGCGGAGAGAGATGAAATAAGAATGAGATGGAGCATATGATGCATCTTCTGGAGTTTAATAGTGTGTCATAGAGGAGAGAGTAACAACTGCCTCAAACGGAATAGTTAACTAGAGAACAAACTCATGCAGGTAAAGAGTGAGAGATAAAAATAATAACAGATAAACTACTTGAAGTAGAAATCAGAAACTAAAAGCTCCATACAGGTAGTTGTTCTTTTTAAAAACAGGCTATATTATTTATACCAAGAGGAATAATGAAAACTCTAACTGAAATACAGATAGCTAATCTGGGAGAAGTTATATTTAATTTAAACATGAAAATAACATTGCTATGTTACATGGTCGTCGTAGTACAAGGAAAAACATTGAAAAACATAAAAGAATAATACAGAGGGACATAAAGTTTTCCAGCCTTAAAATTCTCATCTATACCAATAATAAATAATAAAATACCTATAAATATTTAAGGAACAAAGATAATAACCCAAGAACTGGACTCCCTGCTAAGATGCCATCCACATGTGAAAGCAAAGAACTTTTGCTTTGAAAGAAGTGAGAAAAATGAACAAAAAGTTAAGATAAAGAGTTAGACTAATTTCAAAATTCAAGAGCAATATAACATATTAATGGTAAGCATTAAAACAATTTAAATGTAACACCATGAAGATGATACAGTAAAATCCTTAAAACTGTACAAATTTGAGTAGTTGTTCTTATAATGACATGGTACAGTGTAAACTTTGAAAAGTTAATGTAATTAGTTTAGGTTTTGTTTATATGAAACATATAAACAAAACATATGAAATACATGAAGCACATACAGTCACAGGATATGTGTGTGCATGTGTGTATGTGTGTGTGTGTGTGTGTGTCCTCCAGGCATGTTTAAAACCAGAAGGGTGGGCAGACAGGTTGGAAAGTCCTGGGCAGGAGCTGATGCTTCAGTGTTGAGGTGGGACTTCTTTATTCTCAGGGAGATTTCAGGTTTGCTTCAAGGTCCTCCAACTAGTAGATGAGGCCCACCCACATCATTAGGAATAATCTCCCTTACTTAACACCAGCTGAGTGTGTTGATCACATCTGTAAAATACTTCCACAGTAATAGATAAGAACTTGCTTGAAGAATTGGGTATTATAGCTTACCAATGTCGACATATAAATTTACCATCACATTTGAAATTCTTAGATAAAAATCTGCGACTATAGCCATGAGAAGGAAACAGGAGATGGCACGTAAGAGTGACAGGAAATCAATACAAGTTAATTCTAACAGAATTTAAAATAGGAAATACACCTTCAAAATCACCAGGAGGGTTAGAGAAGAGGAAAAAAGACATACTAGGTAGGGAAATGGGAAAAGTGACGAAAATGAAATAAGAGAGCAAAGCAAGAAGTTATTAAAAGGATATAGAAGACAGAATAAACCGCCAGTTATAGGGCTAAAAATATTCTAAAATAACCCATGAAGGAAAACTGAGATAAAAATTAAAATGTAATATGATATTTTAACTAGGAGAAAATATAAAAACAACTCTTGAAAATGTAAGGTTAAATATTGCATATAAGAAATTTAAAGACCAAAATGAAAGAACATCAAAATTATTAACAACAGAGATCAAAATAAAAAAAAATTAGCAAATAGGTTAAATAGCATTTTACATTAATTAAGATTTTAATTCCTAGTGAGATCCTGTCAGGAAAGTTTTATAATAGATAACATAGTATAGGAATATAAAATCGTATCTGTAAGAAATATACAGGGAAACTGACAAAAACTAAAACAGTAATGTAAGTCATTTACTTAATTCTTTTATTTTATTTTTTATTTTTTTTTCTGGTACCTGGGATGGAACACATGACCTTGCGCTTGCCAGTCAGGCGCTGTGCCCCTGAGCTAAACCCCCAGCCCCTACTTCACTCTTTTAATTCTTAGCTTTTTAATCAAGTTATAAAGATTTAAAACTATGAGTAAGAGCTGAGAATTTAGCTCAGCGGCACAGCACCTGCCTGGCAAGCGCAAGGTTGTGAGTTCAATTCCTGGTACCTGAAGAAAAAATAAATAAATAAATAAAACTATGAGTAGTATAATAAACTAATTTTGTTTAAATAAGTTTATACTAGAATATGTATATAATTAAAACCTTCATATATTTGACTGGTAATAGGATCTGATCACAGTGTAACAAACAGACTAAAACAGCAAATGAACAAGCAACTTGACTTTCTTGGAAGATAAGGAAAAGACAAATGACTGCTATATGAAAGAGGACATAAGACATTTACCAAGAGAATACCTGGGAAATGATCAGTTAGAAGTGCACTGAACACATCAGCACACTAAACACTTCCATAATTGAATGAAAAAAGAGTGAGGATACTAAGGTGTAAATGTGAGAAACCAAAAACAAGATGAAAGAACAGAAACAACATAATCAGTTAATCTAATGAAATCAGTCAGTGAAAGGGAAAGGCAAAAGTCAGTGAATTAGAAAGTAGGAAATGAATAAAGTTGAAAGTTTTAAAAAGAATGGCTTAACTTCTAGTAAATTTCATTGTACAAAGAAGTATATAAAATTAGACATGAGAATTCAAATATAATAGATACAGAAAAATTAAAATTATTTGAAAATAAGTATACATATCATTTTGAAATTTTTGAAAGGATAAAATTTTATTTACAGAAATTTATTTGTTTATTTATTTGGGTACTAGGAATCGAACTCATGATCTCATGCTTGCCAGGCAGGCACTGTGCCACTGAGCTATATCCCCAGCTATTCAGGAATTTAAATGATCACAGTTGGTAATGAAGAATAAAACTGAAAGAACTAATAATAGAGAAAGAGATAAAGTTATTAAAGATTTATCCTAAAGAATACATTTGGCTCAGATATAAATAAAACATGTCCTTTCAATCATTCTAATATCTGTGCTGTAAAATCTGTTTTATATAATAGCTGAAACATAATGCTTCCCAATTAGTTTAAGGGTCAAGCATAAAATATGTTTAAAAATCAGTACTACAGATAACTAATAAAAAGCAAAACCTTAGATAATAGTCACATGTAAGTAGAATGAAAAAATCTTTAAAACAGCAATGCATAAAATCCAGTAATTTATGAAGGAAAATGATTAGAATTGAGTGGGATTTTTTAAATAAAAAAAGTGTTATTCAAAATGAAATAATCATTAGTATAATTTATCTGAACACTAGATGAAATATTAAAAATATGGTCGGGATCTGGGAGCAGTGATACATGCCTAGAATCCCAGCTATTCTGGAGCCAGGATCAGGAGGCTCCTGAGGAAGTAGTGAAGGAAGAAAGGAAGGTAAAGATGGAAGGAAAGACAGAGGGAGGGAGGGACAGGTGGAGGGATGGACAGCCGGAGGAAGGGAGGGACAGACAGAGGGAGGGAGGAAGACAAAATTGCTAAGTTTGGCACAAGACAGAAATGCTCTTAATAAAATTTAACATACATTCTTGATGTGTGCAGTAAATTAAAACTGGAAGGATACTTCCTTTAAATCACTGTTTCTTAGTAAAGTGGTTTAGCTCTTTGATGAAAATCGCTATTTGAAGTAATAATACAGGGGTAGAGGTGTAGTGTAGTGGTAAAGCACTTGCTTTGCATGTCGGAGTCCATGTGTGATCGCCAGTGCTTACATCACAATGAAGCAATCACCAATGTATCAATGTAATTAAAATATAATAGTAAAAAATAAATACTTAAAGAATGTCTCTCACAAAGGTGCTTACTTATGGAAAAAAATTAAAAATTACACACCTGTAACCCAGCTACTTAGGTGTTGAGGCAGAATTGGAAGTTTGAAGTCAAAGTGTTAAAAAAATTTAGGGAGAGCTTGATTCAAAATGAAAATAAAAAGGTCTGAGAGTGTAGCTCAGGGGTACAGCATTTGCCTAGTGTGCAGGAGGCCCTGGGTTCAATCCTTCCTGCACTAATAATGAACCCACTGAGAAAGAAATGGGAGAAAAAATACTGTTCACAATCACACCAAGGAAAGTTAAATACTTAGGAATAAGCCCCACTAAGGTAATGAAAGACCTTAAGAATGAAAACTACAGATTTCTCAAAAGAAAATTGAAGAGGACATTAGAAAATGAAAAGATGGGCTGGGGATATAGCTCAGTGGCATAAGTGCTTGCCTGGAAAGTCTGAGGTCATGAGTTCAATTCCCGGTACTAAAAAAAAATAAGGAAAAGAAAATGAACAGATATCCTCTGTTCTTGGGCAGGTAGAACCATTATAATGAAAGTGTCTGTACTTCCAAAATTTACCTACAGATTTAGCACAATACATACAGATTTAGCACAAACTCACTCAAAATTCCAACAGAATTCTTCACAGAACTGGAGAAAACAATCCTAAAATTTATATCAAGCTAAAAGAGAGTGAGAAGAGCCAAAACAATCCTGGGTAAAAGTACAAAGCAGGAGTGATCACGGTCCTGGACCTGAAGGTATATTACAAAGGTACTGTGATAAAAACAGCATGGTACTGGCATAAAAACAGACAGGAGGACCAACAAAATAGAATAGGGGATGCACCAACAGTCCCCAGCACATTTAACTATTGATCTTTGACAAAGGAGCCAAAAACATACAGTGGAGGAAAGATAACCTCTTTAATAATTGGAGTTGGGAAAACTGGCAACCACGTGCAGAAGACTGAATCTAGA